TATTTTATTCAAAAGTATTCACCTTTATTGCAGAAAATAACTATTGGAAAGACACAGGAAAAAACTCAAACCTATCAGAAATCAAACCTTAAGCATATATGTTCTTGCATTCAAATGCGAATTCAGATGAAAAATGTGAGAGGATTTCAATAGTGACTAGTTTAGAAGATTCTACAAAAGTAAAATTAATATTTTAATACCCCAAATAATACATAAACTGTACTGAGCAATACTGCAACTGTCTTTCCATTTGTTTAATGAAGTAAAATGGAAAAAGGGGCTGAATTCTTCCTTGAGTACGTCTATACAACCGTTTAACAAATGTGGACAAGAAAGTTAAAAAAATACAAATACTGAGTTAGGATTACTGTGAGGTTTATACTTTTGATATGGATCCCTGAACAGTAGTATCATGCTGTGGGTTAAAGCTCCACCTGAAAAATTCCTACAGCAGAAGCTATAACTCAGTTGTGACAACAGCTCATAAGCAACACCAGTTTAGGAACAATCCATACCCCAAACAGGCTTCAAACTAAAATCCCAATCTCTGATGAAAAGTTTTATAATCCACAAATTACTATCTTTAGTAGATGACTACAGTGGATTTTCTATTATAAATGAGAAAGATCAAGCTTTAAATTCAGTGTCTATTTACATTTGGCTGCTCCTATAACACAATTAAACAACACAGAACATGAATGCACTGAACATGGAAAGTTTTGACATTATCTCCACTTCTAAACCAAAACTGTTACAAATAACAGTGTTCAAACAGTCACTGTAGTGTTCCATAAAAAGCTCAGGGCAAAATCAAGCAATATTTTTCCTTGTGCCTTCTGGTGACAAAATCAAGCAATATTTTTCCTTGTGCCTTCTGGTGACAAAAGGACAGCATCAGTTAAATGCCTCAATTTATTAATCGATTTATTTATTTTAAATTAAAATCTGATTCTTCACATGACATCATGCAGGTTTCCTTTCTTGGAAGCAGCTGATTTTAGAACAAGCCTACAAGCCTCATTCCCATAGCAATAACTGCCTTCATCAATACTGCAAAAACTACACCATAAAACATTTTACATATATGTTATGTATAAATACAAACAACCTTCTTGGTAGTCAGTTATCAGTTCTACAAAGCAACTTCACCTCCGGGAGTGCCTTGCATCGTGTTGTTGCAAGAGATGTATAACACAGAATTACCCATTTCTTACATGTTTCTCAGACAGAGGCTGAGCCTGGAGTGCTATGGAACAGGAAGAGTTCATTCATTCAGATTCATATATTTAAGATATTTCATTCCCAACTCAGGGAAGGTATTCCAACCTCGAGTACCCATTGCCAACTGAATTATAACTCTTTTGGAGAACACACTGAGAGTGTTTCAGCACATGAAGGTGGCCTGAAGATCCCCAGAAATATTTTCCAAGATACGCCTATTCATCAAAATTTACTAGATTCTGTAGAACACTTTTGATCTGTTAAGAGGTGACAGACAACACTACCACACTCTGCACTGGTAAAAGCTGCCTCCCTTCCCACCAACTCAACCTGCTCTGCTCTCAGCAGCCCCTTCGCTAAACGGGCAAGCAAAGTGCTGGTTAAGTTCACGACCAAAGATTTTCTTCTCTTAGACAGATCTGTTTGACAGTATCAGGACTCATCTACAGCTCATCAAGAAGCTGACAAGAATCAAGGCTCTTAACCAGTGCTGCCCACTGCCTTTGATCCAGCCCATAGCCGTAAATGCTGCAAGTGTGCCATACCCTTAGTCTGTAAACAGTACGCTGCCCCTGTGAATTATGAAGAAATACAGAGCTGTTTTCTGGCCCTGCAGGTCTGGGCTCAGTTTGTTGGAACCAGTGTTCAAAACCAGAAATTTAAGTTGTATGAAATGCAGCCAAAACAAATGAATTCTCAAAGAATATACTCAGCAAAGCAAAGCAGTTTTTATTTTCTTATTTAAGTGGAGCTTCTTTTCTAACTGTGCTCAGGAGCAACTTCTCGGCAAAATGGAAGAGACACACTGTACCCTAAAGTCTGCCGAGAAGCAAACTGTAAACTTACTCTGAAAACAAAACTGAAGAGCTGTACCTGAAGAGACTGAAGGGCAGAAGACATACTACCCAAAACCATATTTTTACTTAGGTTCATAAATGCATCTTCTAGAAATTAGTACATGAACTTGCTGGAGGGTAAAGCCTACAGCACTGCTTTTTAAGCATTTCTTGGCCTCTCACTAGACAAACAGATGTTAATAACAGTAATCACGAAGTCATGTTTTCAAACGTGTTTGCAAATATTTTTAATCATACACTGGACAAAGGCAAGGACAGTTCAGTAGTTAGACAAAACAATTCCAAGTCCAAACCTACATACTGAAGGCACACTTGGGAGTTCCATCGATAGCATTCAAAGTCAAAATGCAAAGCCCCCCATCTAAATAGATATGCAATAGCAGCAACTCGGTGGTGCCACAGAGTAAAAGTTCCCTACGAATTTTTTACGTAAAAATTTTGCTTTAAGCACGAATTTCAGGTCTGAGCACATAACCAGTCCTCCTAATTAAAGAGCACAAAATACGTAACTGCTGAAAATGGAACACTGTTCATTTATTTGTCGCCCTATTTTCAGGCTACAAATACCTATTTCTAATTTTTACCAGGAGTAACTATATTAAGTTCCTATTAAGAACACGACGTAGCAAATGACTCAGTTCCTAAGAAGTAAACCACAACAGCATCGCAGTAAAGACTCTACCCGCTATCTACAAACTAAGAAATTAATGACGGATTATTTCTGTGTAGGAATATATTTATCGTGGGAGACGCTGACACTGAGCTGTACGAAAGGCACAAGTGCAGCAGAGCATCAGCCCACGGCTCTGCCCCGCCGTGTTCCTGCGGGACCGCGGCTGCCGCTGGTACCCGACGGCACGGGCAGGCACAAAGGATGGGGACAGAGTTACTGCCCTGAGGAGGAAGGCACATCGGGAAAACACTTTCTCTTTGAGGGAGAAAGAAAGGGAGAGAGCCGATGGGGTAGAATGAGCCAGAGAAAGGCCTCCTGCCCAGAGGGTGGAACCGCAGCCCCTCCGCTCAGCCCGCCCCGCCGGTACCTTTGCGGAGCGCCAGCGGGGACCCCGCGCTCCGGAGCGTTCGGCCCCTCGCCCGCAGACACGGCAGGAGGGGCCGCGGCTGGGCCGGAGCTCCCGGCGAGGGTCCCGCCGGCCCGGGGAGCGCCCACCCGGGCCCTGCCCGCCGCGCTTACCTGCAGCACCAGCGGCTCAGGGTTGAAGGCGAGGGTGATGAGGAGCTGCATGCGCTCCGAGTCCTTCAGGTTGCGCAGCAGGAAGCTGCCCGAGTCCTTGGTCTCGGCGTAGCGGCGCACCAGGCGGTCGAGCAGGCGCTGCGAGGGGCAGTGCACCAGGTCGGACCAGCCCTCCACGGCGCCGGGGGTGAGCAGCCGCACGTCGCCGTTCAGGCTGGCGAACTCGGTGGCGGGCAGTGCCTGCAGCAGGTCGCAGCGGCCCCTGCCGGTGGCGCGGCGGCAGATCTTGGTGTCGATGTCGGCGAGCTCCTGCGCCGAGCCCAGGCGCTTCAGCACGACGCGGCGGGAGCCCTCGCGGGGCTCCCCGTACCGCGCGAAGTACACGTTCTTCACGTTGAAGAAGTCCAGCAGGCGCAGGCGGCCCCAGCTCTCCAGCCGCAGCTGCCCGTTCAGGAACTTGCGGCACCAGCTGGTGCCCCAGCAGGCCGGGCACTTATTGAGCTGCAGGAAGCGCCGCTCCGACAGCTCGTTGCGCTGCAGCGAGGCCAGCAGCGAGTGCGTGTTCAGCACCAGCGCCGCCGCCAGGCTGCCCAGCACCGCCAGCTTCACGTAGCGGTACAGCCGCCCCAACTTCAGCGACACCAGCCGCAGCATCGTCCCGGGCCGCGCCGGGCCCCCCGCCCTCCGCTGCGCTCGCTGCCCGCCCCGGCCGCGCCGCGGCTCCGGCTCCAATAAACTCCCCGCCTCGCCGCCCGCCCGATAAAAGGCGGCCAAGTTACTGAGGGGCCGGCGGGGAGGGGGAGGGCAGGGGAGGGGGGGGCGGTGCCTGCAGCGCGCGGGCCCGGCCGGACCCGCCCCC